ATCTTTCGCCACACCGCAAAAAGCGTCAGCTGAGGGTCGTTGCTAAGTACCGGCTTAGCTGCTACGAACCCTAGGCAGAGTCTTGGGGTGGTGGCGGGACTGAAGTGCTAGCTAGTGTACCACTGTGGCCGCCAACGACGTGCCCCCACCACTTCTTGGGGAGCTTTGTGGACCTGGCCCCGCACATGGCTGGCGACGGCATGGTCCTGATCTTCGGCCAGGACCTCCTGAACGCGTACAGGCAGTGGCCTGTACGCAGCCCGGCGCACTGCGGCACGTTCCTCCCCACAGCGGCGGGCCTGACCTTCTGGTATCACCTCGTGATGAATTTCGGCGCTACGGCGTCGGTCTGGAATTTCAATCGCGGCGGGGATGCCTTGCTGTTGCGCGGCCTGCTGCTCCTGCCGACGGGGCACTACGTCGACGACGGAGCCGCGCCCTCCAGTGGCGGTTCCGGTTTCTGTAGCCTTCCACCCACCCGACTCGAGGCGGTCTGCTAGCCACCCGCATAGCACTCTGACCATGGTCGGTAGCGTCAAGAGTCCAGGTTTCCCCTGCACTCTTCCTGGACTGCCGAGGACCAGGCGTGTAGCGGTCCCAAGAAGGGTCTAGCGAAATGGAGGCGAATCCGAGTCTCCCTAGCCCTGAGCGAAGGCCTTGGCCTCCGTCTTCCCAGTTCGGGCTAGCAGGCGGAGCCTCGACCAACCAGGGAGAGGCCTAGCTTGTAGGTGGGGTACTCGGTCTCCATCCCTAGCCACTCGACCCTAAAGCCGCGTCGGGTCTTAGCCCACTTGAAGGGATAGCCGAGGGTCGCGAGGAAGAGGTAGGTCAGGGAGATGCCCCTTCGCCCACGCGGGCCCTTCCCCATGGCCTCCAGGTCGTCGGCATAGAGGAGAAGGTCTAGCGGGAAGTCTGGGCCAAGCAAGTGGTAGGTTAGTCTGAGCCCACAGGCCGCTATGCGTGTTGACGAGCAGCCAGCGCAGGAGAGCCCAAAGGCCCCCACCAGGTTGACGTAGACGGTCTGGCTAGCGGGGTCGCCGGGGACCTCTTCCTTAGTGTCGACCTGGCAGGCCAGGTAGCCATGCTCCTTATGCTTGTAGCGACGGTGGGATTTAGCGATGTCGCCCACAACGGAGAAGGCCGTCTCGCCTTCCTCCTCGTGCTCTCTTAGCAAGTGCTTCTTTTCCCTAGCGCCGGGGGAGCGTAGCTTGTCCCGGCACTTGACTCGGTGGTTCACGCGTACCCCATGGCCACGATAACGGCTAGCGCCGCGATGGCGGTGTGCTCACCATAGCGTTCCAGGAACTGCCGCCTGGACATTTTAGCCATGAGCCCCTCGCTAACGTCCTCCTATAGCGAAGTCGGCGTGCTCCTCGACTGAGCTGTAGTTAGGTACCCAAGCTAGCGAGGCCTCCCACAGGGATTCTCGAGCGGCCACTTCACCTGCTCCTCGAAGACGTGTGGGGTCCGAGGTAGCGGGTCCAGTATACCCACCGGTAGCCCATCCTCCGCCTCGCGGAGGAAGTCTCTATCGGGGTCACCAGCGGCTTCCAACATAGCGTGGAGCAGTTTGAGGTGAAGGGGCTGCCCCGTGCCACGTCTAGCAGCCCAGCTTCCCCCAAGTCCACGTAGCTGACGATGTAGCTCCTGGTCACTAGCGAGAATGCAGCCCTTCTCGCCACCAGCGGCCACGCGGAAGGGACCCCACCTTCGCGAGGACGAGCTCTAGCGTCCTTTTCCTTAGCCATGTGCGGCCACCGTCCAGGCGAGCATAGCCCGCCCCCATCGTGGAAAGGTTTCCCCCCCCGGCCCCCCCTAGCTGTCGGCAGAAACGGGGGGGCCCCGTCCCGCCCAGCACCCGGGGGCCCTCGGGGTGATTTAGCGGAAAGGTTTCACAGCTGGGTGGTAGCGTGTCCTGGTGCCCGGCATGAGCCCCCTCACCAACGGCAGCGTTAGCAGCATGCAGGCAAGTGGAGACCAACATAGCAGAAAGCCACTGGCAAAGCTTAGCGGGCCACTGTTCAGAACCTGA